AGACTACCTCACAAGCCGGCCGCAGTACGTGAGGGTACAGAGCTGTGAGTCAGATAGGCTTCTCTGCAGCCCTGGAGCGCCGCAGGGGAATGTTCTGCCTCCATTCCTGTTCATCCTCTACACCTCGGACTTCAGACACACCACTCCAAACTGCCACCTTCAGAAGTTCTCCGATGACTCTGCGATTGTAGGCCTCATTACAGAGGGAGACGATCGGAAGTACAAGGGACTGACGAAGGACTTTGTGGACTGGTGCCAGCAGAATCACCTCCAGATCAACCCTAGGAAAACTAAGGAGTTGGTTGTGGATTTCTGCAGGAAACAGTCCTCACCTGCACCGATGAACATCCAGGGTATGGACATAGAGAGGGTGACCTCCTACAAGTACCTTGGTGTTCTTCTCAAGAATAAACTAGACTGGTCTAACAACACAGACGCTCTGATCAGGAAGGGGCAGAGCCAGCGCTTCCCGCTCAGAAAACTGAGGTCTTTGGAGTTCAGGGGTCACTCCTTAAGACCTTCTATGACCTGTGGTGGTTTCAGCCATTCATTATGGCATAGTCTGCTGGTCAGGCAGCATCTCAGCCCGGGACAGAGAGAGACTGGACCGACTGGTCAGGAGGGCCAGTTATGTCTTGGGCTACTCCCTGACATTTGTTTGTCTAAACCGCATTATAGTATGGTAGCAAACGATAAAGATGATCTACATTTTTTTTTTTTTATCACTTAGCAAGTACAACTGGCTACAGTATACTGCTGATTTCCCTAGAAACACTTCTGTTACTAATATCATTAAATATATCTTATATCATGCCACGTGCACCATTTTCGCACTCAAATTGGCCGAGGTAAGACAAGTATGCCGCTCTCTCTCAAAAGCCACATGAAAATCACAAAACTCAATGTTAAAGTAGAAGGGTTCCGCTATGTCACAGGTGTCAAAGTCCGGTCTTCGAGGGCCGGTGTCCTGCATGTTTTCCATCCCTCCCTGCTGAAACACACCTGATTCAAATGATCGGTAAGCTCTATCGGAGCCTGATGGTGATCCTGATCATTTGAATCAGGTGTGTTTCAGCAGGGAGGGATGGAAAACATGCAGGACACCGGCCCTCGAAGACCGGACTTTGACACCTGTGACATAGCGGAACCCTTCTACTTTAACATTGAGTTTTGTGATTTTCATGTGGCTTTTGAGAGAGAGCGGCATACTTGTCTTACCTCGGCCAATTTGAGTGCGAAAATGGTGCACGTGGCATGATATAAGATATATTTAATGATATTAGTAACAGAAGTGTTTCTAGGGAAATCAGCAGTATACTGTAGCCAGTTGTACTGTCAAAACTAAAAAAGGAAACACATTCCCTGCCATATTTAAGATTTGTTCATTACGGTACTTGTATTCATGAACTGGTTGTGTAAATGTGATAAAAAGCTGTTGATTCTTACCTCAAACAGTGACAGTGAAGTCCCACACTATTTACTATATACCTATATATATATATATATATATATACACACACAATGATAATTTTACAGTTTACCGGCAGTGAGTCCCAGGGCCTCGCTGATCAGAAAAGTATGAGTCCCATTATCCCATTATGCATTGAGAGAGTCCCAAATTTCGAATTCTGAAACGGTCTACTTATTCAATTGCATATGATAATAACACAAACAACAACATATACATACAATTACAAACAAATGCTGCAAAAATTTTTATAATTCAGTCGCAAGCCTGAGGAGTTCGGAAATTCACGGAAACCGTTTTTCGGTTCCGTCGGATTATCCAATGGGAAACCACGGGAACTAATGTTGGATTCTGTAAACGTTCATCATGGGAACCCATTTTTCTATTTTGACTGATATTCATAATCAAGAATTCTGAAACTCAAAAGTATAATGTTTCAAGGGTAAATGTTTGAAAACTATGCATTAACAATGAACATTACATCAACAGCTGTGTACTCCAGATTTATTCCAAAAAACAAATGGATCAAAAACTGGTGTACTCATGTGGCATCATCAGAGTATTTTTTCCAATCTCACACTGCAAAGATTAATTTACTGGTTATCGTTAATAGAGGTAAGTACTGATGTGGCTTTACATCCTTAATTTACTGGTTATCATTAATAGAGGTAAGTACTGATGTGGCTTTACATCCTTAATTTACTGGTTATCATTAATAGAGGTAAGTACTGATGTGGCTTTACATCCTCTTCCCAAGACGATGCATGTGTAATCTACTATCAATTTGACGAAAGAATTTAACATACGTCATCATTAGTTCTCCCAACAGTTAACATTAGCATTACTACCCCTTGTGACGAATGTTTTATTCCTAAAGTTACCATGCTACAACCAGTAAATTATAGAATAACCAATACTGTTTCATAATATTTTTCATAGCCATGAGCCTACAAATCTAATGACCAACTTGCCTCGTAATCGTGCCTCTCGTTGTATCTCGCTCTCGTGTTCTGTGCATACATCCCAGGTCAGTTTAGTGAGACGCCCTTTGGACGATTCATACGAAAAATCAGACCGGCATTCCCATTTCTTAAATGTCGTAATTAGGAGACCTTTGTGTGTTTTTTTTCGCCACCATCTCAAACTTTCATCCGCGCGATTCCTCAATTTGCGACTAAAATAGCAACCCGCATGCGCACATAACGCTAATCGTTCCATCCCCCCCAACACTGAAAAAAAACATAACGAAAGTCAATTAGAAGAAACACACAACACCACACAACACAGGCACAGTGAAATCACGTTGATCACACAGGAGAGATTTGATCGCGTACAGTCAACTCGTGTGCTGTGACTTTTATGGTTAAACGATTTTTCGGTACTGTCAAAATGACGCCACGGAAACGACACGCTACCGGTAATGATTGTTACCGTGAAATCCTCAGGCTTGCCGTAGTTTTTTTTTTGTTTGTTTGTTTTGACTGAGAAATTTCCTTGCATCCCAAAAATTCACATTACTTGGAACTGTGCGTCCCGTGGGAAAATTATGTGTCTAGGACGCAGGATGCAGAGGTAACGAGGTGACGATATATATATATATATATATATATATATATCTGTGAAAGGTCCTAAACTGAAGACACCTCGAGGATATATATATATATATAGATAGATAGATAGATATATATATATAGATATAGATATTGATATATATAGATAGATAGATAGATAGATAGATAGATAGATAGATAGATAGATAGATAGATCGATATCGATGGATACATGTGCACACGCGCAACTTTAAAAATTCTATGTTTTGAGTGATGCAAAAAAAAAAATGGTATGCTGGAGCTTTTCGAAGCTGTCTTCGGGCAGTCAGCGAAGTACACCCCGAACTGGCTGCCAGCCAATCGAAGGAGATACACAGACAAAAAACCATTCACGCTCACAATCACACCTCGGGATAATTTCATTAACTTGCCATTGTCATAATCCTGTTATGTTTTTTGAGCAGGTGGCAGAGGAGGGGTGTCCCTCCAGCATGAACACACGTTGCCAATGTCATCAGCCTATTATTTCAGGACTCCCATATTGTCATGTGTCTGTCAGAAAATTCACCTTGCTCATGACTGTCACCAAGTGGTGGACTCTAGACGGTTCATGTTCTTGCTCTTTGTTTTTGTTCCAACCAGGTTTTCTGCACTTACCTTTGTAAGTAGTTTTTTTTTCATTGTAGTTGTAGTCACGGTTTGTGTATTATGTGTATGGGCTTCTTCTTGGCTATTTATTTCCGTTTGTTTTCATCCTTTCCTTTTTTGCAAGCATTTTTTAGTTGTCTCGTTTTTCTGGTATTGTACCAGTGGTCTTTGTTGAACTTTTTAGGTCTTGTGAACTATTTTTGTTTTGTAAACCTTTTTTGTAAATTCTGAGTTCACATTTCTGGAGTCCAATTCTGTCCGGAGCTTTCTGCATGCCTAACAGCCATATAGGTTTTTGGAATATACTGTAGGAGGAAACCAGTGTACCTGGAGAAAACCCACACAGGTACGGGAAGAAACATGCAAACTACACAGGGGCCTTGGCATCGGACCAATGATATGCATCTCTGTAATATGAGGCCGACATGATCACAAGTCGACCACTTATCAAATGAACAATCATTTTGAGACATTGTTGAACAAAAAACTGTCTTTATTCTCAGAGTTTCAGCCTCTCAATAGTAAATGCTCTTGGATTTCTAGTCTTTGCATTGACTCAGTCATAGATTTGTAAACATTTTCCTTTACTATGATAGCGGTGATCAACATTTTTGCCAATTTGGTGATGAAAATTACTGACCAAACCAGTAACGGAATCACAACCAATTTGTCTGTTTATTTTCTGCATTGTCAATTTGAAATAATCTGTTTCTGAAGAAATTAATTGATTTTTTTGTTCTCGAGTATTAACAAAAAACAAAACAAAACATTACTTCCAGCCCTTGACTACAGAGAACAGGTGATGCAAGTTAAATGGCTATCTTTCACAAAGAAGAGACAGTGTCCTGAATACAACGGAATTGAAGGATCTTACCCGCAAATACTCATTCTCTGACCTCAAATCTTCCACCTCCCTGACCAGGTCATCGGTGGAGTCTGCCATCAAGAGATCCATAACGGCCCCTGAAGAGTTGATCAAAGTGAGGGCTCCTCCAACAGCATTCAGGGGAGGAGAGCAAGCAGTGTGCGCTGTTTTTACGCGCTCTTTGCAGTAGTCGTCTTTATCGCCACAAACCTGCCCCTCGTAAGCTCTCCTGTCTGTCCAGCTTAATTCATTGTCGCTGATGGGAGAGTCGCGCTTGTTGCCCTCCCACGTACAATCGGATATTTCCGAGCTGCTGTCGGAGGAGGGTTTCCCCGACAAGCAGCCGGAGTCTTTGCTCAGATCCTCCGACGTGTTGCTGGCGTCGGAGAGTTTCCTCTGGGTACCGGGGCGTCTCTGGCATTCCGCCACGGCGCTCTGCGGACGTTTCCCCGTTGTTTTCCCCTCTTTCCCAAAGCCACGATGACCTAGCGATGTAGCTCTTGGCTGCCCACCACTTTGGCTCTCTTCCGATGTGGGATCCTTTTTCCTTCTCTGGATGGTTCCTTGTTGGGATACCCTGGATGGCTTCTGGCTCTTGGGCGCATTCTTTCCGCATCTGTCTCCTTCTCTGTTCATCGTGCGACAGTTTTCCCTCTTATTTATTTTATATTAGCAACAGCAAACGACGTTGGCATTATAAAAATGCGTTGACATTTATATTGCAAACGAACACCACTCGCTTTTTGATTGTCAAGACTGAAAACCGGTCACGTTTCCACGTGCCGTATAAGAACGACGGTATTGGTCAAATACGTTTCCGCTTGTTGTTTCAACATTAAAACATTACCCAACTGCAGCAGTGACTAGTACAAAGGTTTATAAAACTAAACTACAACTTTTAACATAATATAATTACAATTATTTTGTGTTTAATGACTGTATTCTGTCCCACTTCAACGTGTGTCCAGCGCCGTATCAAATACAAGCTTGTTTTTTTTCATTTCATTTCCGGTTTTGTCTTTAAGTAACTTAAACTAAAACTTGACAGCACCGCAACTACTGTACTTAAAAGCTGTACTGTAATGCAAGGTTTTACTTACTATCTCATTATGAAATTCATCTATAACCAGATTGAATAAACACAGAAAAATAAGCCTACTTTAAGAAAATCAATTTGCCAATAGTCGTTGACTGACCAGGATTATTTTATTATTGAACCAATTATGGAGAAATAATGATCTATTCTTGTATAAGATGTAACGATTATTCCAGATAAAACATTTATGAGGGGAAAAATCATGTTTATATAGCAAGGACCAAGCCAAAAGTATTTGTTTGTGGAAATTGGATTAAGCCAAGGGATTTTTTTCTATTTTGTAGTCACATAAAAGTACAAAGTTAAGACCACCAAGTTGAGAAAACATATAGTTAGGTTTAAAGTTCCAAATCGATGAGGGATTACCCAAAAATAGTTTGATCCAATTGATTTTAAATGTATTATTGAGGGTAGAGAAGTCCAGGAAGTTCAATCCACCAGTTTCGTAGGTATTCATTACAACAGACCTTTTCACATAGTGAGTCTTGTTCCTCCACAAGAAGTCGAAAAGCATCTTATTGATATTCTTACAAATTTTCTCATTCACAGACAAAGAGATTGCTGCGTACGTAAGACGTGACAGTCCTTCCGTTTTGGTTAGTAGCGTACGTACTTTTAAAGAAAGATCACTACCAAGCCACTGGTTAAGCTTAGTTTGGGTT